GACACTAAGGAAGCACTTGGAGGAGAGACGGGCACTCACTACCACGCACGGGCTTACACGGAAGGAGGGACGCACTATCACCATTGTTGCACATTTGAACTGTTGTCACCTTGCTGCACTGTAAATAAATGCACTGTCATTATTTCTGAGCTCCGCGCCTGAGTCCACTCTTTAACAACCGTGACAGGTCCGAGGCTTTTGCGGCCTGCTCTTTCCCCGATCTGGTTTTGCTCATATTTCGTACACCGTAGCCTTGAAGATGTAAAAAGTGCCTCAGAGCAGCACACGGGCGTGTTATCGTACTGTTGTTAAAAGTTCGTTAGTTTTGGAGCAATGGAATTATGAAACAAGTTAGTCCATTGAGGAGCCCTGTACAACACGTCTTCACATGGCTACCAGACACGCCCCCCCCAATCTGAGTGGGTGACTTTTAAGTCACTCAACATTTTTAAATAATAGCCTTTCTTACTTCTTAAACACAGACTACTGTAATTTATGATTTTGCCAGTTTAGCTCACTATGCACCAACCTAGACCACAATTTAAGACGACCGGCGCCAGTTTGAGTCTCACCTGCTTGACTTTGTTGTTGAAGTCTTGAATCCTCTCTTTTAGAAAATAAAATAGTATGAGCAGCGATAACCTTTAGAAGTTTCTCTTTCCCTTCATGCTCTGTTTGTGGCAGCACTCAGCAGAGAACCAGTGTCAGGTTTCCTAGTAGGCAGTGCAGAGCAAAATGAAACTTCAAATCTCTGTCATCACAGCGACTTGTGAGATAACGACTCAAAAATACATCTGTATGTGTACAGTCAATGGGAGACTAATACATTGTTCCTCTCACAGTTTCAGTTTGGTAGAGAAATGTTTCTCTCTGCGTCATTCAGACCCGCCCCATTTTTCAACTCTGCCGTCACCAGGTTCCTCGTTTCACATACTGACGCTATCACAATAATTTTAGTAAAATTCTTTCACTTTCGTTACATAAAAGAAAGAGGAATTTGGTTATCTTGGCCCATGAGAAGTCTAAAACAAATAACATGGATATGGTTAAATCTCAAGTTTTTAGGAAGGAAAGTAGGAGACTGTTGTCATGAAGTGGATTGAGGAGAGTGGAGCTATGCACTTGCAAACAGAGTTCAGTTCCTTGCAAAACAAACAAGCTTAAAACAAGACAAAATCTGTTGTTCTGCAAATTAGTTTAAGAATTGAAAAAGACATGGTGATTTTTTTTTAACTACTATACTAATAACCCTTTTAGTTTTGCAATTATTTGCTATATTGAGAGGATTTATTTTATTTTTACTTTTTTTGCCCATTAATTTGCAGTAGGCCATTCAAGGATAAATTTGTTGGTGTTGGGTGTAAAGATCTGGAGGGATATTTTTGTTTTATTCTTTCTTTATTTTTTATTCTATTTTTCAGTTTTATTGTTTTAAGACTTGATGAGAGAGTTACTCCATTGCACCTTGTGTCACTTAAAAATGTGAATTTGATTGATGGCTTTGATGTTTGACTAACACTTTCTGTTTGATCACATGACCAGGATTTTCCCAGTTACAGGAAGTGTGAAGGGACATGTGCAGTGAAGTGTGCCAGGCGCATGACCAGGACTTTCCCACTGACCAGAAGAGTGCAGTGAAGTGTGCCAGGCGCGTGACCAGGACATGGCCTCTCCTCTCAGACTGATGAAGTACAATCTCTGTGCATCTTAGCTGTGCATAATAAATGAATGAAAGGCAGGTTTGTGATGATGCCTGAGGTACAAAAGAACAAAAAAAGCTCTAGACCTGGGCTGTTAATTAAGTGAAGCACAACATACAGAAACATTTGACTGCTTGCATCACTAAAAAACCCACTGATACAAATGAAAGAGAGCGATAATGAAATCAGCTTGTTAAAACTCTGAAGAGGAGATGTTTGCTAATATGCAGGTAAGTAACAGCAAGGCATACCTGAGGTGATGTTGCAGGAAGTTCTGGGTAATACAGCAGATCAGTGATGTATCAGAAGCTCCAGTCAAAGCACTTATGGCTGTATATAGACAGATTGATCACTGTAGTTAGTTTACCTGCCTTCTACTTTAAGTCTGTGTAATTAAAAACAGATGACAAAAAAGTAAAGACAACAATCGCTTTTGCTGAGCTAAAGGAATCAAGTAATCAATCAGTAATTTAAGCTTCTTACTGTGGAGAGTAAAGTGGTATTATGTTTATTATACTATATTGCAACTAACCTTCCCACCTCTCTCTATATAACTGTATTTACCACAGGGAACAAACCCTCTCATCCACCAGGAAGAACCCCAACGTACAGGCAGCAAGCCGAGGGGATATTAGAAAACCCAACCCAGCCCACCGCCTCTCACCAGGGGCAACTCCAGACTGAGACAGAGTCCAGCTGCTCTCCAGGAGACTGGTTCCAGAGCCCAAGCCATACGTTGAGGTGAGCCTGACTATATCTAGCTGGTACCTCTCAACCTCCTGCACTATCTCGGCTCCTTCCCCACCAGAGAGGTGACATTCCATATCCCAATCACCAGTCTTGGTAGCTGGAGATCAGTCCTCCAGGGCCTTTGCTGCTAAAAACTCTCCTAAAGAGACCGGGAGACACCATCACAACCAGAAACAAAGGTTAGATATTATAGTTTACCAGACAACATCGAGTTTGAAAGGTCATGGATTTATAATTGAACAAAAAATTACAGCTATTATGAATTGGACTGTTCAATCGCACCGCTATGAAAGTGGTACATCCTGTCTGTCCACCACTGAAAAGTCTATGATCTATGGTTGACTGGGAAATTAGTGAAATGAGGTTGATTTACAATTGACACAGAATTTCTGCCAAGCCATTTATTTACAGTTGAAAAAGTAGGATTTATATTTGAGTGGAGAAAACGAGAAAACCACTGCTCAGCTAAATCAGATTGAAACAAGTTAGGATGAGGTTGATAAAAACTTCCATTGTGACCAAATTCAAACAATTCTTTAAAATAGACAAGAAAAAAAAATCTTCCACGGTGATGTGAAAGACTCATTGACAGTTTCTGCAGATCTATGTTTATGGAGCTACATGTTTACTATGCTGGTTTTACCATTATGTGGTGCTGTTTGTATTAGTTCTTCTGTAACAGTGACAGACTTGGTTAAATGAAAGTTTATTTGTCTTCATGAACACATGATCAGATTATGGAGCTCATATGGAGTCATGACACAAACATGGTTTTACCTGCTTTTAGTGACAGGCTTTGTAATTCAAGCTGAGGATACAATGGTGCGATACAAAGATTTACAGCACATGAAGCAGAAACATTAAAACCTTCACCTTATCTGAACTAAATACAACAAACATCCTGCTACAGTTTAATAATGAACCAATCCAGCAACAATGAAGGAAGAAACCAAGATGCTCCTTTTTATGCCACTTATCGAACATACCGCGAGACGTTTCTGGAACAAAGTCTTTGTTTCTCAATAAAGGAGTCACGAATGAAGTGCACTCTTCTCTACCCAACCTTTACACATTTCCCTCATCCTTATTGTAATATAAATAATTGGGTTATTCGTAATCTCTGTTTGTAATTTTTTTTTGTCACAGACATCTAAGCTTCAAAGAGAAGAAGGTGAAGAAGACCAAGAGTTAAGGTGGGAATGAGAGTTTAGATGAGCATGTAGCCACTCCCATAAGAAATGGCTATGATATTATGCCCAATTATAAAAACATAATTAAAAAAAAACTCTGAGGTAATCTTAATAAACATGTCAAAGAGTTTTTCTGTGTAGTGATGCAGCAGCAAGCCCGCCCTCCATCATCACTCATCACCAGGTTGTCATCTATTATTGGGGTTGTAGAGCTCAGGCCTCGTCTCCTTCTTCCTGTCAGATAATCAGCTGCAGTACCTAAAAGAGTTTAGTCACTACAATCTGCCCACTCCCACCCACCCACTCTCTGCTGCTCTGACACAGTTTCAGAGTGTGCCCTCTTCTGTGTTTGACCTTGTTGCAGAAAAATAAACGGAGCACTCAACCCAAACAGACTTTTGACAGAAACATGCGAAGGCATGAGTCCATCATGAATAATGATAACAGCTCCTTTATGATCACTGTGCTGAGACAATCTTTGTTCATCTGTCAGCAGGTTAGCTCCACAACTCCCATAACTACAAACCAAACCTTTAAGTCCACCAGCCTGACTGTTTAAACACATCTGTGTTCCTCGTGGGTGACTCAGACTTCAACTTTGCGCTCTCCGGTTGTACGAGGGCAACTCGCTGTAACTGATGGAGCTGTGAATTCTGCTCTGCACCAGAAAATCCACAAGGATGATGTCTGACCATCAGGTCATGGTCTGAAGGTCAAAGCACTCAGATAGCAGGACAATGATCTGAAACACAGCACCAAGTCCACCTCTGAATGGCTCAGAAAAACCAGTGGCTGAGTGTAGACTTTAAGCCTGAGATGCTTCATCCTGACCTTAAACCGCCATTCGTGCTAAAAAAAACTCCAATGTGTCTGAATTCAAACCATCCTTCAAAGAAGATAAGACGAAAATCCACACATGCTTGATTTGCAGTTCTCGATGCCAAGGTTGACACAAGGTACAGACTTTTGCACACAGGTAGGTTTGGATAGCATTTTCCCTAAATAAAATTATCATCTTTTAAAAACAACAGTTTTATTACTCAGGTTATCTTTGACAAGGTGGTGGCAGATACCTGCTAAGAACACTGCATATTGTGTTTCTTATAAGCTCATGATTACCTCTGCTCCTCAGTATCACCACCTGAATCCATACATGACACTTCTGCTTCTCTGCAGAGGAACCGAATTCATTTAAACCCAAATTACCAATAAAAATATTCAGTCACAAACAATATTTTCACAAAATGCAGATGCATTTTTTTCCACACGTGGATCATTGGAGTAGGAAACATTTGAGCCTTTTGAGCTGTCAGTGTTAAGCCTGCACTCAATACTCACAAAGACGTCCAACAGAAAGTGTCATCATCCATGTTAAAGGATGGAACAATGTCCTCCTCATGATGCTCATAAACAGAAAATCTCCTTCACAAGTTTTTTCTCTTAGAGCTCAGACACTCACCTGCTTCCTCTGACAGATCCAGACCTCAGACATGTAACTCTGACTGAGGGAGCAATGAGCTCTTCAAAGGCTTCATCACCACAGTATGAGAAGAAAACATCATCAGCTCAGCCAGTAAAAGCAGGAGCTGGTGTTTCACCTGAATGTGTTGTCTCATTGCTGACGGCAGGTCAGAGTAACTGATGATGATTTAGTTTTGGAGTCCAGTGATTCTGTGGCTCAGCATACCAGAACACAAACTCTGTGTCCTTCCATTAGTCGAGGTTTTCCACACATGCTCAGCAAACTGAACGAGGTGACCGTGGTCGGTCCTGCTCTACAGCAAAACCAGCAAAGTATGACTTTTATTCTGTTGGGTTTGCTGACATGCTTTCCTTTGTTCTTTGTGTGACTACGTCATAGCCCATCCATCCATTTTCTGTCACTTTTCTAAAGCAGACAATATACATACAGTCTGTTGTCATAGGTTACGTGGAAACGTGCTTTGTGGTCAGTTAGGCTTTTGAATTGTTCCACCACGAGACACACACTAGCTCAATCCTAGAGCGAAGCTTCGTGAAACTGTGAAACATCTGAAGCATTTGATGATGCTGTTCTGTGAAACAGTGAGGGGACAGACTAGTTAAACCAGACTGTTAATAACTGTGATCATCACGTGCTCTGAAGAAATCCTCACACACACAGAAAGCTGCGACTGTAATGATCAGTCAGTAAAATCCTTCCTCTGTTAACATTTGTGTTGATCACAATAAATCAGTTTATAAAGTCAAACACAGAGAGGAAAAACTGCTGCGTTTACTGTAACGCACACAGGGTTACAGATTTCCATGGCCTCAGTCAGCTTAGTTTGGTTGATGTTTAAGTTGTCTTTGACTTCCTGTCATCAGGTTTGTTCCACACACTGTTCAGCAAAGCTAGAAGGTTTTAACTAACTCAAAATATATTTTTAAATGAAAAGGTTGAAAAATGTGATTTCCTTCACTATAAGAAGTGAACATTTATCACATTTTCACGGGTTAGACCAATCGCAATAGTCCATTTCACACACCTGTGAACCTTCCTCTGATGAGCGACCTCTGAACCCTGGAGAAACTTCCTGCTGCTGTGGATGTTGTTTCCTGTAACAGTGAGGTGATGTTCACTGAGTCTGGAGTTTGGGTCACAGTGAACCTGCAGGACCCCTGTTGTTTATCAGATATTCACAACAGAAGCTTCAGTGGGAATAAAAAAAAAAAGAAAGAGATCACCTTGAATTAATTAATGGCATGTTTTTGATTTTTACAATATAAATATTTTCCTTACGGTGGTGCAGTGTGTGAGTAACAGGTTAGAATGAGGATGACGTCACTTAATACAGTAGTTGACATTTTCTGTTAAAAGTAGAAGAAAGTAGAGCCCAGACCGAGTCAGAGCTGAAACCTCTTGCTGTTATATTTTCTCCCTGAGAGCAGAGATGAGCTTTTACTGACATATTTCAATGAGAGTATACACCAGTTTTTACATTTTAATGACAGGCCACAATTGGGTCGTTGAAACCAAGCACACCATTGTTGTTCTTGTGACATTACCAATAAGTTTGATGTGTCACATGACCCTCTTCCTATGGAAAAAACAAAAGTTGTATCCAAGATGGCCGACTTCTAAATGGCCACCATGGTCACCACCCATCTTGAGGAGTTTGCCCCTCACATATACTAATGTGCCACAAACAGGACTTTAATATCACCAACCATTCCCATGTTGTTACGGTGTATCCATATAAATGGCCCACCCAGGTCAAAAGGTCATCGATCATTTTGCATTCTTGAGTGACACAAGCCGTATACATATGTTTGTTTGTTTTTTAGCGTGGCTCTTGTAGTCCTCCATACTTTTATAGTTTGAAGTGTCAGAGACGAGCTGTGATCAGTTTGTTCACTCTGAGCCAGTCTGAGCAGTCAGACAACATATTTGTAAATCAGCACATGAAGGTGTCGCCCTCTCACACTCTTCAGGTGGAGTCCCGCCTCCTTCCAGGAAGCAGCTCACCTGTGTGTCCGTGTTTAGTGTCCAGGTGTGGAGCTTGTTGTTGTTATGTAAGTTTGCTTTTTTCCTCCTTTAACAGTTTGACTCTTTGTTTCTGTGATGTTTGGACCAGATGTTCAGCTCTTAGTTCAGGATAAACTTTGATCACTGTTGTGTTTGAAGACAAATCCACATGATTCTAAATTACTGATGAGTTGAAACAAACAGCTTTATAAACAGTTCATGTTTGATAACTTCTTAAACAAACTGTGCCTTTTTATTTCTTGGAATGAAAAAATTGTCTCACCATTAAATCACATACATCAGTGTCCAAATGTTTCCTGTCAGTCCTTTAAAATTAAAATGACATGAATGTTAGTTATAATGTGTTTGATTGCAGTCGGGTTGTAAACTTCATATTTCCTTGATTGATCATAGAATCCATTTGTGTTCCTGTTTAATTCGCATCAAAGAATCAGATAACAAACTGCAGTAATAGCCTCTGAAAATCTGAAAAGAAAGACAGTTGCTCCACACTCATAGGCCCAGATGAGACATCTTTTTTCAGGTGTGAGTCAGACAGTTAAAAACATGTCAAAAAAACTCAGCTCTTATCATGTTCCCGAACCTCCTAAGCTGGACTCCTTCCTGATATTTGGAGGCTAAGCTCAGAGCTCTCTGAGAGGATTCTCAGGCTTTTTGAGAATACCAACGCGGTGCGGAAAAATCCTCTCACTCCCTCTTCTCCCAGATGGCTGGGTCACTCAGATACTCAGCACCAATCCATCTGCCGATCTCCCGTGTCCTCGCCTCACTCGTAAACAAGTCTTGAGACACTTAAATTCCTCCACTTGGGGTAGTAACTCACCCTAGAGTGGGTATTTCACCATTTCGGGTGCTGAATCTCATTTCCATTGCAAATGAGAGGTGAAGGCCACCACCTGAAGAAGCCAACAGAACCACACTAACTGTGAAAAGCAGAGATGAGATTCTAAGACCACCCAAGTGGAAACCTTCTGCCACTTGGCTACACCTAGAAATTCTGTCTATTAACCCGTTAGCAGTCGGACGTACCGCCCGCGGTACATTGGATGGTGTAGGGGACTAATCGGTTACGTACGACAACTTATCAAAGAAGAAGCTAAACATGCTATATATATTTGGAAAGCCGAGATTCTCGTGATTCGAACGATGTAAAGCATTTCACGATCGAATCAACATAGCGGGTACAATTAGCGTTTATGTCAGGCTGCCGACATCGACTTTTTTCGGACTGCTAAGGGGTTAAGAAGAGAATCAGTGACATAGGGAAACACTGATGGAGTCCATCACCCACTGGGAACTAGTCGGACTTTTTGCCAGCAATGCGGCAAAAAGTCCACAAAACACATGAGCTCATGGTTGGTGAAACTCACATGCACCCAATTATCCTTGAGAGAATAAAGAGCTGGTCCAGTGACTGGGACAAAAACTCAGTCTTTCCTCCTGTATCCACAGTTAATGGATAATCTCTTGTTCTTTCAGATGAAAATGCCCTCT